TCTCATGACGATCGAACCTTTATTTCACGACAATATCTGCAGCAAAGCATGCCGAGCAGAGCAAAACCTTCAGCCCTTTTTCAGCAGGAACACGTCGCTGTCCCGGGAGACACCTCTTTCCACGGCACTAGGTTTATTATTTGAGGGATGACCACTGGTCACTGACATCCAATTTTTGCGATAAGTCGTCTTCTGATGTTTGAAACCCCTCATAAATTACTCCGTCTTGGGGTTCGTGCGTCAGTGAAGCTTCTTACTAGTAACTTCGGCCGGCCCAACACCAACGGGATATTCAGAGTTGGACAGGTTTTTGTCGTCAGACACGGGGATATGGAATCCCCCAGTACTACAGTTGGCCTCGCGCTAAATCCCAGTGAGGTTCGGATTCCCGCGTTCTAACTCTTTTAGTTCTAGCCCTAACACTAGCCCTCATAGACCTAACCCCAACCCTAACACTACCCCTAACTTTAACCTCCCTGGAATTAAGGACAAGGCCACCTGCAATAGGGGTGACCCTTTTCTCCAACTTGGCTTACATTTCAGCCGTGAACACGTCCATGTGGTTGGCCATCTTACATATTCATCTTACTGCCCCCATTAACTGACCTGATTTGACCGACCTACCTGTTGGCACACCGCTGTACCTCTTTTGGGTTTTACCGCCGGGACAGTGGCCACGTTGACTGTCTTATTACGGAGTGTCTGTCGCCGCTACGACCGGTTGTGGGTGTGTATCCAATTTCGTGTTGTTCTATCATTTAGTTATTCTTCACGGCAGCAACCGGATTCGGACAACATGGCATCACGCTAATGACAACGGCCTGATCTAACTTTTACCCACGCAGCTGAAAATAACCTTGATGGCGTAGCCCCGATTCCTGTGTACCGCATGACAATTTTCCTCTGGTGACGTCCCCACCCCGCTTAGATGTATTTGTTATGACCCTGGTCATGCTTGACCTAACCGACCTAGATGGTGTCGCATATACAAGTTTTTCATGCCTGACAATCCGCGGTAGATTATCTTCGCCTGGGTTTTGTCGTACAGCGGCCATCCAACCTCATAGACTCACCGGGAGTGGGTCTACGTCCAGAAAACTCATACAACCTTGAAGACAACCTACCATCAGTCCGATGTATACGATCTGGTCGTCATGTTCACCGGCCCAACCATTTCGCGACCAGCTAACCGGTCGATGCCTTCGCATCACCCGACCTCTAATGAGGGGCTTTCAGGCCACTTCTCAGGCATAGTATTGACCCCGCCGCAAACACTTATGCCGGCTGATTGTACTTCACGACCATCCGTGCTTGGCGAGCGTAAACCTAATAAATGGCCTCTCACAATTTAGGCAAGCAAGAACATCGACACTTGATGTACGAAATCTGGTAGTCGCTTTCACGGGGGAACACAAGTCACACACACGCACACCACCTTAGCTTGTATGACATACCTTGTAAACAATTGCCGACTGTTCCATGTAGTTTACTGGTTGAATTTGTGTCTATCGCGGTCGTTTATTTTCTGTCCTACGGAACGTGTCCTAATGCTAAGTGATTTTGGCATGCTTTTGCTCTTGGCCAGTACAGCTTTGTTCAAATGGCGCTGTTGTTAGAGGTAACCTTAACCTCTTCTTCCATTTACTTCAGAGGGCTGAAAAAATAGTACTCACATATGCCACAATATTTGCATTGAGGGCAACATCACATCTCATTACTATTTTTCTTTCAGGCCATAAAATTCGATCACAGAGCTATTGGCGTGACTGCGATCAACTGTCTGGTGGACGTCTTTATCCTTTTTGGCCTGCAGCCCTTCCTGACAGTTGCCGAATCGTTGGACAGCGTCCAGTGCGAAATAAGTATGTTTGAAATACAGAATCACTTTAAGTAGCATTTATATATTTGAACGTTCGAACCTGGCATATTAGTCAGTCAGGATATCAGGCAGAATGGGGGTGCAGGAGGACTCGTCCGCATGTGCAGGTTGAAATACCAGTCATCAGTCTTGACAGAGGCAAAAGGTTCTGATTGTGAAGTAATTCAGGGGACAACACTGGCGACTTAAACGGCGTGGTTTTCAAATTCTGAAAGATTGACTAGACGCAGTCTTACGCCATTCTAGCTATCTAGTATTGTAAAGCCTCCCAGTGTTTGCATGTTGGTATTTAGGGTTAGACACTACACACCCGAAGACGTGTTCTGGGCACCGAGTGTTAGACTGCATCATAGTCTTGTGCGCCGTCCATGGTTATTGGCTTTATATGCGTTTGATCGCTGCGTTCGGTGGTGTATCAGGTCCAGAAAGATGGAGCGATCCTGATCAGGTTGATGGCACTCTAATTAGACTATTGATCAACTCGGACACGAGGGAGGGCGACCGCGGGTACTCACTACGATTTCTGCCTGCCTTTTTACGCTGACTTGAATGCGCCCGAAAAGATCTAATCATTTGCTTGGCGTAAAAATTCTCATAGTTTTGCAATGGCGCTCAACAAACCACGTCGTTCGAGCCTGTTGGGTAGCCTTTTTAACGTGATCTAAAGAAGTAGATGGGTTTGTGTGAGGCCATCACACAAGATCCTTTGAGGTGATAAGTAGCCGTTGTTGTAAGTTCTTTTTATATAGGTGGGCACACACCAGCGTTCCCAACGCTCCTGTTGAACTCCACTTTTTATTTCATCAAATGTTGCTCCGTGTGCCTCGTCAAACTGCTCTGAGATAGACCTTTATGATGTTCCTTTAACCAAACCAGACCGTACAAGTGATCAGTCCCTTTTACCAGTAGTTGTAGAACGTTTCAGTATTCGTGAGCACTAGAGGAAAGCATGCAAATATAATTCGATCTTCTGATTCGATTGATGATTTTGTACCTCACTCTGGTTTGGGGAACTGTCGGCAGGATTTCTTGTCAACATTGTTTCTATGATGGAATCTAATTTATCAGCACACACCTTTGTTCTTTTTCAATTACATGAACCACTACGGGTGTGACAGCAGATTCTAACGTAGCACAAAACCAGTTCAGGTGAGAGTTAATTATATGGCCGGGGTAAAGAAAAACTACGGAGAACTGCCTGCAATATTGTTAAGGCTAGGTGTCGTTCGATAGAGTTTTTGGTCGGTCCTTCGTCGGCAAGATGACATTCGCTGAGCTGTACCACCCCGAGGAGTCGGCGCTGCTTCAACGTCCACATCGGTTCATTATTCTGCATCCCCCACACGTGATTCTTTAGTTAGAGGAAGCTCATTTTTTGAAACAAACGTTTGACAAGGAGAGCAGTCAGATAGTAAAAAAAAATACTCGAAATATTGTTAGGTGGAATGCGTGCGTCTGCCAGTAAGGTAGGAGTGTTAACACGTTGGGGAATTTTCTGAACAACAGTTAGCACTTTCTTACCCTGCGCATATACAGTGCGTGATCGATCTCATGAAATATTGGCCGAAATTCTGAAATGCCTTTTAGATTAAGAAGGATTACTTAGGTGGGGTTATAATGCTGATTAGTATGCGGCATAATCCTATAGCATTTCGGACTCGCCAGGATGTCGGCTTTTAAAAGCATTTTTGACCTCCTGCAAAACCACACTTGGTAAAAAATGACAACTTATGTAGCATGCATTTTTCACATTGATTTTTGATGGTCTTATAAATTAAAATATATGCTGTAGAAGACATGCACAAAATATGCTTTCTTTTACTCATTTGATAGAAACTCACATTGTCTTCATATTTTTGTACCCAAAGGAAGTGTATATTTAGGTTTTGAAAAAGTTTCTCAGTTCCCGAATAATTTTGAGCCTGATCTGCAATTGCATTAGCGTTTGGCGATTTCAGTCTTCAAGGTTCATGCTTTAAGCATAAGGTGAATCCTATATTCCTCTATGCCTTTAAAAAGATACCATATAGAGCTCATAAAATTTTGCAATTGATCCGGACTGTGT